CACTCCAGCCTGGCAAGATTTTTGACTGTCCTAGAACTCACTCACCAGGCTGGCCTTGAACTCACAGAGATCCACCGGCCTCTGCATCCTGAGTGCTGGGATCAAAGACTGCGCCACCATGACTGGCCTAAGGTTTTGTTTTGTTTTGTTTCTCCCATAGGGTCACTGACTGGCTCTCCGAGAACTCATTGAGATCTGTCTGCTTCTGACTCCCAAGTGGGGGTATTAAACACCTGTGCACTGTACCTGGTCTCTCTCTCTCTCTCTCTCCCTCTCTCTCTCTCTCCTCTCTCTCTCTCTCTCTCTCTCTCTCTCTCTCTCTCACACACACACACACACACACACACACACACACACACACACATTTTTTTCCATGCCTGGCTTGACTTTTCCCATCATTTGAATTCATGAGATATACATACTCCTCTCTTATGGAGACAACAGTCATGGTCACAGTGTGGGCTTCTTGCATTGTGTAGGCTCAAAGTCATGCAGTGGTGAAAACTAAGTCACTGGCCACTACACCCTGCTATGAAGGAAGAGAGTGAAGCCTGAGTAGGTGGAGGTGGGTGGGGAAGGAGAGTGGGCAGGGAGGGGAAGAGTGTGGGTGGGGAGGGGGTAGAGTGGGCGGGAGGGGGGGAGGAGAGTGAGGGGGAGAGTGGGCAGCGGGGAGGAGAGTGAGCGGGGAGGGGGAGAGTGGAGTGGGGGTAGAAGAGTGGGCAGGGGGAAAAGTCAAAGCTTAGATGCCAGTCACCTGACCCCAGCTAGCCTCACAAGACAGCAAGATCTTGGGTGGGGCAGCTCCCTGCAGGACCGGCTTCTAGCAAGTGCTCCCAGCAGCTGTAGGAACAAGTCCTTCTTTGATACAGATGGCAGATACTAGGCCTGTCTTGCTGACTCTTGGCCTGGCAGAAATGACATTTTGTTTTAGTTTCTCTTTTGTTTTTTTGAGACAGGGACTCCCTGTGTGTAGCCCCAGCTGGCCTGAAACTCGCTATATACACCTAGCTAGCCTTCACCTGCCTCTGCCTCCCTAGTACCTGGACTAAAGTCATTAAAATTGTGAGCCACTGTACTTGGCCTATTGTTTTCTTTTTCCAGACAGGGTTTCTGTGTAGCTCTGGCTGTCCTGGAACTCAGTCGGTAGACCAGGCTGACCTTGAACTCAGAGATCTGCCTGCCTCTGTAATCCGAGTGCTGGGACTTTAAAAACATGTCCCACAACTGCCTGTCTCTAATTCTATTTTTTGTAGGGGCCAAATTATACAGGCCCATATTCCTACATTGTCTGGCAGTCAGAGAATTCTGAGTGACCTACAAGGCACAATTTGCACCTGCCACTCAGAAGGTGTGGTCGCCTGGGCTTTTGGTAGTAAAACCACCTAATACCATCCTAAACAAGTGGTCAGGATATGCTAATGTCGTTCTGCTCCTTCTATTGTAATTTAGGAGGTCACCTGGAAAAGTGTTTTTCAGTCTACATGACACAATGGGCATAGGCAATAGACAAGCCGTGACCTAAGTCAACTCCCCCCACTACCTAGGCGACAGAATGCTAATGAACTTCTCCCTCAGTTTACATTTTGATATAAAAGCTGTTTGGTGAATAAATGAGGGTGATTTTTAGGATGTGAATTCAGGACTTTATGAAGGATCCCTGAGAACTCCCTCCTGATGCGGTCCTGTGAATTGTGTTTTCATTCCCACACCTCCACTCTGGCATGAGAAATGGATTATGTCAGGGCTGGTCCCTGACAATTTTTATTTTTTTATTTTTATTTTTTTAAAAATATTTAGTTATTTATTATGTATACAATATTCTTTCTGCGTGTATGCCTGAAGGCCAGAAGAGGGCACCAGACCTCCTCATTTCAGATGGTTGTGAGCCACCATGTGGTTGCTGGGAATTGAACTCAGGACCTTTGGAAGAGCAGGCAATGCTCTTAACCGCTGAGCCATCTCTCCAGCCCCCCCTGACAATTTTTAAAAAATTTATGTATATGAATGTTTTACTTGCATTTATGTCTGTGTACCACTTACATGCCTGGTGCCTGCCAAGGCCAGAAAAGAGAGTGTTGGATCCCCTAGTGTTAACACAGGGGAGTCACAGGTGGTTGTAAACTGCCATCTGGGTGGCAAACCCTGGTCTTCTGCAAGAGCTGTAAGTGCTCTTAGCCAATGAGCCATCTCTCTAGGCCCTGTTTTGTTTTGTGAGAGGGGATTTCAAGTAGCCCAGGTTAGCCTCTAACTCACTCTGTAGCCAAGGATAACCTTGAACTTCTGATCCTCCTGCCTCTATCCCCCAAGTTGTTGATGTAATTCCAACCTCGGCCTCCATCTTTAGAGGCCCCTCTCCTGTGCCCCTTGAACCTTGACCCCTCCCCAGGAAAGGCCAAGACCACTCCCACAGGCTACTTAAACTGCTCCTCAGAAAATAAACACATGGTTTTCCCTCTTCCTCTCAGGTGGTCACATTGACAGGTTCCAGTTCCCCTTGGGGCCACCCGGGAGCGCAGGTGTCTAATTAAACATGGATATCTTTTAATTTGTTCTAATTTAGCTTGATTGGGATTATTTTGCGTCGGCGGAGTGGCTCGGTTAGGAAATATTCCTAACAGTTGACAGAAGACATTGAAAAGTCCATCCCAGCAGCTGCTGTCGGTTGTCACAGATCCCGTAACATCAGGCTTTGGTAGGGGTGGATTTATAACTTTGTCCCACCTCAAGCCGAAACACCCGAAAGTACTCTGCAAACATCCGCCCTCTTCTCCTCCCTATATTTGACTCATATCAATTTTCTTTTAGCATGATGTGGTTTGGTGCCTTCTGGTCCACGTCCCCATCCTGGGCTGGGTCACTGCCCTGGTGTCTGTGTCCTATGAGCTGTTCCCTGTGGTTGATTTTTATTTTTATTCTTTGCTCTTTGGGAGCTCGCCACTCAGCTCCCTAATAAATACACAGAGACTTATTCTTACTTACGAATGTCTAGCTTTAGCTTGGCTTGTTTCTAGCCAGCTTAAGTTATCCTCTCAACTTTTTGCCTCTGAATCTTATATTTTCTTTAAAAAAAGATTTTATTTATTTAGCATGTATACAATGCTCCGCCTGCATGTATGCCTCCACACCAGAAGGCACCAGATCTCATAAAGGGTTGTGAGCTACCATGTGGTTGCTGGGCATTGAACTCAGGACCTCTGGAAGTGCAACCACTGTTTTTAACTGCTGAGTCATCTCGCAAGACTTAGTTTTTTGTTTTTTGTTTTTTTTTTTTAAAAAAATAATTTATTTAACTTTATTTTATGTGCATTGGTGTGAAGGTGTCAGATCCCCTGGAACTGGACTTACAGACAGTTGTTAGCTGTCATGTGGGTGCTGGGAATCGAACTTGGGTCCTCTAGAAGAGCAGTTAGTGCTCTTAATCACTGAGTCATCTCTCCAACCGGCTAGTTGTTATTTGTTTGTTTTGTTTTTATTTCAGAGAAGCAAAAGTCCTGTTATGTGTGATGGTTTAAAAGAAAATGGTTGACAAAGGGAGAGGCACTATTAGGTGTGGCTTTGTTGGAGGCAGGCTTTTGATATCATGTATGTTCAAGTCATGCCCAGTGAGACTGTTCACTTCCTGTTGTCTTTGGACCAAGGTGTAGAATTCTCCAGCACCATGTCTGCCTGCTTGCCACCACAGTCCCAGCCATCATGACGATAATGGATTAAACCTCTGAAACTGTAAGCAAGCCACCTCAATTAAATATTTTCTTTATTAGTTGCCATGGTCATGGTGTCTCTTCACAGCAATAGAAAGCCTAAAACATTCTGTAAACTTTAAAAATGTGAGCAATTGGAACCAGAGAGATGGCTCGCCACTTAAGGGCACTAGCTGCTCTTGCAGAGGACTCAGGTTTGACTCCCAACACCCATATTAATTCAAAACTCGCTGGTTTGGGAGATGGGGAACACAACGCCCTCTTCTGGCCTCCATGGACACTACATGAATGTAGTGCATATACAAACATACATGTAGGTAAAATACTCATATACATAAACATATTTAAAAGGAAAAAAGTTTTAAAAAATATGAGCATAAGAAAAACTCTAAAAACTAAACTAGGCCTGGATTCACCCCCAGGGCCCCATCTGGAGACACACAGGAAAGTTAGAATGGATGGGTGGATGTCCCTGGTGGGCTGTAAGGCTGTGCCTGAGGGCAGGATTGGCCTGGGGCTTTGCCCAAGATACAGCACTGGGTCTTGTCAGAGGGTGACTGTGGCTTTCAACACAAGTGGCCCTGGGTGTGCTCGCGATTCTCGCCCTTGTACATACTTTCCAAGATGTGAATGGCAGAGGTCAGAGCAAACATCATGAAAATTATCTGTGCCAAAGGTGGGCAGCCATTCTGCTTGGCCCCCTGGAAATCTAATGGCCTTACATCCATCTCGGAATCCTCCCACCCCATTAGTCCAAGCAATGGTTTGATCACCCGCCCTGAGCCCTGTCCCATGGAGTACTACATAAAACCCCACTGTCTACATAAAACCCTCTGTCTTCTGGCATTGGCATGTTTGTGTGTGTGTGTGGACGGGGTGGCATTCTGTCTCTATTCCAGATGAAGAGAGGGAGGCCAGGGAGTGGGGCCTAGGGCAAGAGACACCGGAAGTCTATAAAAGGATTACACGGGACTCAGGGGTGTGTGTCCCTTCTGTGAGGCCCGGAATAGGACTCTCTCCCCCAATACCCTCTACTGCCTCCCAGAACCTCAACAGGCAGGTTACCCGTGGAAACACAGCTGGCTTTTGCCCATTTGGAACTCCCCCACTCTCTTCCCCAGCCCTGTCAGAGCACGGCTGACCAGAACATTTTGGGCCCCCTCTGCCCCTTTACTCTGTTGTCCTACTGCATGGATGAGGGCAGAGATTAGAAAATAAACGCTTGTGGTTATTTACTGAAGGGCTGGGGCAGTCGTCTATCTAGTGCAGGGCTGGGGAGGGAGCAGGGGACTTGCTGGTCTAGTCACTATTGGGGCCAGCGCGAGCCCCTCGTGAGGTGAAGTGGTGGGCCAGGTAGCGAACAGCTGACCGGATGCCTTCTACAGTTCGTCTCTCCACAGACTCCAGTAGGTGCGTGACTGAGCGCAGGGCCGAGCCGGTTCCAGCCACCAATCCAGAGGAGAGAGCTGACCTGGCACTACCCAAGAGACTGGAGACAGTGCGCAGGCTGGGACCCTCTTCGTGGAGCCTGTCAGCTGGAGAGCTGTAGCCTGAAGTCAGGATGCCAACGGCCAAGCGCATGCCGGTGGCTGTGTCTGACCACACCAGGATGTCTGCAAGGGAGCTGGTGGAGCCCTCACCACCGCCCAGCAGGCTGGTCATGGAGCGCATGTAGTCATTCTCCACATCAGGCCTGTACAGGCTGGGGTCTAGAAGGTTCCTGCCCAGGGACACGTGGCAGGGACCTGGAGAGGGAGGTGGACTGCCTCCTGGGGAGCTGGAGAAAGGTGGGGGTGTCTGCGAGATCCTTGATTCATCAGCTAAATCCTCCCTGGTAGGCCCTGGAGGTCTATCTTTGCTTTCGGGGTTCAAGGCCCCGAAACCTTCAGCTTCCTGCTCAGCAGATTTGGTGATGCCCTTGGGTTCTTGGTCAGGACTACTGGTATTCAAAGTGGATGGGTCAGTAGCTCCCACAGAAGGCTGGACATCTTCAGGCGGAGCAGATGGGACCTCAGCTTTTGGAGCTATTTCTGGCTCCCCTTCAGGAACATGCAGTTTTCCTGGTGTCTTTTCCTGGTTCTGGGAGTCACTTGGGAAAACTGTGCGGCTCCGACTTGTGCGGTTATTTTCAGCCAGTCTGTCCCACACTGGGTTCTGGAAGCCCACAAACACTTGCAGGATACCTGAGTCTTGCTGCAGCAGAGATGTGTTCCCTTCAAGATTCTCCTGGTTTTGGCTTGGAGCGTCTGCGTTCTCATCTTTGTCCCCAGAAGTTGGCATATTCATGGAGATGACTATCTCTACACCTTTCCTGATGGAGGTGGCTATCTGCATGGAGGCCTGATTTCCATCCTGTCCCATTGGAGGGGTGATTGGCATTGACACCTGGTCTTCATCCTGTCCCTTAGAGGTGGCAGTCTGCATGGAGGCCTGGTCTTCATCCTGCCCAGTAAGAGTGGCAGTCTGCACGGACACTTGGTCTACATATTGCTCCATGGAGGTGGCAGTCTGCACAGGGGCCCGGTCTTCATCCTGCCCCATGAAGGTGTCAGCCGCAATGGTGAGTTGATCTTCATCGTTCTCTGTGGCGACGGCTGTCGTCTCAGAGGCCTGGACTACATCCTCATGTTCGGAGAATGCCGCAGTGATACCTACCGGCGGGACATCATCAGGCAGGAAGTCCTGACTTTGGGACTCTCCAGGCGATTCTGCAGAGTTGTCATCAGCTTCATTGCCCACAGAGGCGTCGGGAAGATCGTATACTGGCCTGCTGGTGGCTTCAGCCTCTTCCCGGGGCTCGGTGGTCATCTATGCCCCCTGCTAGGTGTGGTGGTTGGGAAGGAGTGGCTGGGGCTCTGCTAGGCTCAGTTGTCCAGGTGGTGAGGTCACAGGAGGTTGTGGGCAGCTGGTGATGTCACAGGTACTTGTAAAGCAAGGGTCCTGAATGTCCTGAGCCACTTGGCTGTCCTGGTGGGCTGAATGCAGGGGATGACTCATAGCCAGAGCTGCAGGTACACAGGAAATGAGAGATGACTGTCTTGCTTTACGCTGGAGGTGTGTAGGTAGGTGTGTGGGTGCAGCCATGGGGCTGTGAGAAGTTGCCATGACAATACTTTGGGGGATGATAAGGGAGGGTGATACTGAGTTTGAATCGGTGAGTTTTTTTATTTATTTGGGCTGGGGAGGGGGGAGGGAACTTGCTATGTAGTTCAGACAGACTTCACACTATGATCCTCCTGCCTTAGCCTCTCAAGATTTGGGGTTACAGATGTGCTATACTGGGTTAGAATTAAGATTTATGTCACCCCTCCCACCACCTCTCTGTCCTCATTTGTGCTCAGGACACCAATTTAGCCAGTCTTTCTTTGGGAGCCATTTCTCTAGCAGTGGGGCGGGATAATGGAGAACAGGGCCTGGGTGGCATCTAAGCTGACTATCCTTGGTGCTAGAGTTAACCTTGTGACACAGGGCAAGTCTGTCTACTCAGCTGAGCTGGGAGGACAAAGGGCTGCAAAAGGCCGCAAACTCCGGGGTCATCCTAAAAAGAGTTTGGGCCCTAGAATCCCCCTGTGTTAATTAAGACGGTAGCTGGGGGTTGGATAGGGCTGAGTGGTGGAGAGCTTGCCTGGCATGCATCTGGTTTCATCCCCAGCATAGAGGTTGGAGTGGAAGGTTCCATTGTGTGCTTATGCTCTCCCAGGTTGTCAGACCATGCATAGTTCCTGCTCCTCAGGGGGGAGGGGAGCAGCGAGCATCCTGTTGATGTAGGATGTCCTTCTGTAGGCTGTGACTATGGGTTTCTCTTATTGGTTGAGGAAGACAGCTGTTTCAGCCAATGGCCAGGCAGAATATACCTAGGTGGGAAATCCAAACAGATAGATAGATAGATAGATAGATAGATAGATGGATAGATAGATGGAGATAGACTGAGTAGGTGAAGTCGAGTGGATGCCATGTAGCCGCACAGCAGCAGCCTAAGGAGAAAGATGCCAGAACAGAGGTAATGCCGTGGCCATGTGACAATACACAGATCAGTAGAAATGGGTTAATTTTTTAAAATTATTTATTTATTTATTATGTATACAGTATTCTGTCTGCATGTATGTCTGCAGGCCAGAAGAGGATACCAGGTCTCATTACAGATGGTTGTGAGCCACCATGTGGTTGCTGGGAATTGAACTCAGGACCTCTGGAAGAACAGCTAGTGCTCTTAACCTCTGAGCTACCTCTCCAGACCCGAAATGGGTTAATTTATAAGAGGAAGAGCTAGCCAGTAATAAGCCTAAACCATTGGCCAAACAATTATAATTTATATTAAGTTTCTGAGTGGTTATTTTATAAATGGCTGTGGGGACCCAGTTTGTAGAGGAAAAACCAGTCCAGGCAGACTGGACGGGATAGACAGAGATACTTCTAGCTACCTTTGAACCCACCATGGGCCACAGCATCTCCCTGGAGGCCTAGGTCTACTTTTACACCTTCTCTCCTGGAGGAGGCGACAGTGGGTGGTCAGGGGGTGAAGGTGGAGATCAGCTTTTTCTTCAAGATCTCAGGAGCAATCACTGACTCCAGGGTTTGCAGCCCACCTGTCTAAAGTCTTCAAGCTCTTAGGGTTTTGTTGGGGGAGGGGATATTGTAAAGTTGAGACTGGTGAGACAGCTTGGGGTGGGGAGGGGGTGTGGAAGGGCACTTATTTCTAAGTCTGTGATGATCTGAATTTAATGCCCAGGACCCACATGGTAGAAAAAGAGAACTGACTTCTGCAAGCTGTCCTTAGCCTTCCACACATGCGTCATGGCAACACACAGACAGACAGACAGACAGGAAATGTAATAATAAAAATATTGGGCCAGGTGTGGTGGCTCACACCTTTAATCCCAGCACTTGGGAGGTAGAGGCAGGTAGATCTCTGTGAGTTCAAGGCCAGGCTGGTCTACTAAGCCTTAAGACAGTCAAGGCTACATAGTGTACCAGCACTGCCCAGCAAGACCCTGTTTGCTTGCTTGCTTGCTTTCTTCTTTCCTTCCTTCCTCTCTTTCTTTTTTTTTTAATTTTTTTAAATTTATTTTTATTTATTTATTTATTTATTTTTGTTTTTTCAAGACAGGGTTTCACTGTGGCTTTGGAGCCTGTCCTAGAACTAGCTCTGTAGACCAGGCTGGTCTTGAACTCACAGAGATCCGCCTGCCTCTGCCTCCTGAGTGCTGGGATTAAAGGCATGTGCCACCATCGCCCGGCCTTCCTCCCTTCCTTCCTTCCTTCCTTCCTTTCCTTTTTTCTTTTTTCTTTTTGGTTTTTCAAGACAAGGTTTCTCTGTAGCTTTGGAGCCTGTCCTGAAACTCCCTCGGTAGACCAGGCTGACCTTGAACTCACAGAGATCCACGCGTCTCTGCCTCTCAAGTGCTGGGATTAAAGGCGCGCGCCACCACCACCCGGCCTAGACCTTTTCTTTAAAAAAACAAAAAACAAACCAAAACCAAAACAAAAAACAAACCAAAAAAGCGCTATGAAAACAAAATGAGAGCTGCTGGCCAGTATAACAGAGGCTTAGCACGGTAACTGGCTTTCCACGCCTGCTGATGCCAGCGACTGCCAGCTCTGGGTCACACCACAAGAGCCCATCACCATACACGGGCTGTGTCCTGGATCCTTCCCCTCTTCTCTCCCCTGCTGCCTCTCGGTCCCTGGCTCCTCCCCTCTCTTAGTTTGAATCTGGAATGTCCTTCACAGGCTTTTGTTTTGAGCACTCAGTCCCTAGCTTGTAGAATTATTTTGAAGTCTATGGAGCCTGGAGGAAGTGAGACCTGGCTGGAGGAAATAAAACCCTCTGGTACAGGGTCTGAGGATGTCACGCTCACCCCGGGTTCCAGTCATGTTCTCTGCTTCCTGTCTAATGTGACTTGAACAAACAAACTCATATTTTTGCCACCATGCCTTCCCGGACATGATGCACTGACATGCCTCTGAACCATCAGTCAGTTGGTGGTGGCGTATGCCTTTAATCCCAGCACTTGGGTGGCAGAGGCAGATTTAAGGCCAGGTTAGTCTACAGAGTGAGTGCTAGGACAGGCTCCAAAGCTACACAGAGAAACTCTTTTTTTTTTTTTTTTTGGCTTTTCGGGACAGGGTTTCGCTGTGGCTTTGGAGCCTGTCCTAGAACTAGCTCTGTAGACCAGGCTGGTCTCGAACTCACAGAGATCCGCCTGCCTCTGCCTCCTGAGTGCTGGGATTAAAGGCGTGCGCCACCATCGCCCTGCCACAGAGAAACTCTTGTCTCGAAAAACCAAAAAAGAAAAAGAGAGAGAGAGAATAAACTTTTTCTCAAGTTGTTTCAATTACTTTAGCCAAAGTAACTATGAGAGAAGGCGTGCCCACCCCTTCTCCTCTGGTGAACCCCTCTTCTCCATTCCTATACTTAGGAACGGAGACTCTTAGCTCCCTTCAGCCGCCCTCCACCTAACCCTCTGAGGTAGGCTCTACTCCATGGGAGTTGGGTAGAAGTTTATAAAGAACCCTTCCAAGAGCTAGGGGTGTGTGTGTGTGTGTGTGTGTATGCCTCCATGTACCCAGAGGCTATAGGAGGATATCAGTTGTCCGGTTTTCTCACCCTCTGTCTTACTGCTCTGAGACAGCGTCTCTCACTGCACCTTCTCACTGAACCTGGAGCTATAGCCACAAACTCCAGTGATCCTCCTGCCTCTTCCCCACAGTGCTAGGGCTACAGATCTGAGCATGCACCATGCCCTGCTTTTTATGCCGCTTTTTGCGCCGGGGATTCGAACTTAGATCCTCAGACTTGTGCAGCAAGCGCTGTTATCCACGGAACCACCTCCACATCCTCAGGCATGGCTTTGTGTGGAGTATTTTATCACAGTCAGACCTAGGGCTGCTAACAACTACATCCCCAGACTCATTAAATTTCAAATGCTATGAAAACCATGTGTGAAAGGGCTGGGGAGGTGAGTGTAAGTATTTGAAAGAAAAAAAAAAGAAAAAAAAAAGAAAGAAAAAGGAGTCTACAGCTATACCACCCTGAATGCACCAGATCTCATCTGAAAGAAAAAAGAGAGGAGGAAAAGGAAAGGAAAGGAGGAAGGAAGGAAGGAAAGAAGGAAGGAAGGAAGGAGAAAGGGGCTAGAGGGATGGCTTAGCAGTAGGGAGCACTTGCTGTTCTTCTAACTGGAGTCTGGTTTCTAGCACCTACATGGGGCAGATCACAGCTGCCTGTAACTCAGTCTCCAGGGGAGGGGATCTGGCACCTTCTTCTGTTTCCAAGAACACCTGCACAAACACATGCACATAAACAAATTTTTTAAAAAATCTGTGTGAAGCCAGGCATGGTGGCAAATACTTTTTGTAATCCCAGTATGTGGGAGGTGAAGGCAGGAGGATTAGGAGTTTCAGGTCATTCTTGACTGCATATGAAATCTGAGAAAAATATGTGTTCCCTGAAATCCTGCTTAATCTCTACAAGCCAGGAAGCTGCCTCAGGAAGAGTTGGGCAAATTGGAGGCTAGCCTGGGCTATGCAGCTTATTGTCTCCAATAAACAAGCAAACAGAAAGAACAGAATATAACATAAAATTGCCGAGCAGTGGTGGTGCATGCCTTTAATCCCACCACTCAGGAGGTAGAGGCAGGTGGATCTCTGTGAGCTCCAGGTCAGCCTGGTCTACAGAGTGAGTTCCGGGACAGGTTCCAAAGCTACAGAGAAACCCTGTCTTGTAAAACAAAACAAAACAAAACAAAACAAAAAAAAGAAAATAGCATATAGTAGGACAGCAGACTTTAAACCTGTACCTTAACTTG